CCTGGCTCCGTTCCTTTTCGGCCGGAGCTCTGCAGTTCTGAGCTCCGTTCTCTGCAGTAAGGTCTGCAGACCTTACTAATCCATCCTTGCGAACGGGGCTCAGAACTGTCAGAGCTCCGGTGATCGATCGAAAGTAACGGAGCCAGGACAGGACGGCAAGGAGCGGCTGCTCTCATAGTCAGGTACGCGATCCGTGACCGCGTGCCTGACTGAATTTCCACTCGCCCTCTCTTTATTTCCACTCGCCCTCTCTTTATTTCCATTCGCCCTCTCTTTATTTCCATTCGCCCTCTCTTTATTTCCACTCGCCAAATGCGAGCGGGCGAGTGGAAATTTTGAGCCCTGATCTATAGTATGATGTATGATCCATAGTATGATGTATGATCCATAGTATGATGTATGATCCATAGTATGATGTATGATCCATGGTATGAAGTATGTCATCCATGTTCCCGTCTGCCTGTATTTCCCTCCACAGGCCTCGTCTGTCCTGGTAAGAAAACGCGTCAGGAGAAGGAGACTTTGTTCCAGCAAGTTGTGCAGCAGAATGCGGCGGAGGAAGAGGCCAATCAGCTGCGATGGTGAATATCTCTCTATTACTTATATTGGAGGACACGGAGGTGACAACACAGCGGAAGATTCCTCCATGGAGGAAGAGATCATGTAACTGGGCGGGTGTGACCTACACAGGCCACCGTCCTCACTGCATCCCCACCAATGATATTCACAGATTATCTTCTATGCATCTGTGATATCAAAAACACGACCATTCCTGAATCCGTGCGGTCACACGGGACAGGAGAACAGTACAGGGGGCGGTCACACGGGACAGGAGATCAGTACAGGGGGCGGTCACACTGGACAGGAGATCAGTACATTAGGCCATAGACGATTAGATGAGTTTTGCCGGATCCAACCATATTCAGGCAAACACCACCAAGTGTTCCTGAGGTTATAACAGCCGTCCTCATCGCTTATTTCCTCCAGGACCCCCATATCTTATACCCCCCAATATCTTATACCCCCCATATCTTATACCCCCCTCCCCATA